GTGGGAAGGGGGGTTGGCCCCCCTGCCAGCCGCCTCGGGTGTGAGTCGCTGTGATCGGGTTGGGAGGGAGGTCTGACACCCGCCTCGGGTGTGAGTCGCTGTGATCTGGTTGGGAAGGAGGTCTGACACCCTGACACCCGCCTCGGGTGTGAGTTGCTGTGATCGGGATGGGAGGGAGGTCTGACACCCTGCCAGCCGCCTCGGGTGTGAGTCGGTGTGATCGGGTTGGGAGGGTGGTCTGACACCCTGACACCCGCCTCGGGTGTGAGTCGGTGTGATCGGGTTGGGAGGGTGGTCTGACACCCTGACACCCGCCTCGGGTGTGAGTTGGTGTGATCGGGTTGGGAGGGAGGTCTGACACCCGCCTCGGGTGTGAGTTGGTGTGATCGGGTTGGGAAGGAGGTCTGACACCCTGCCACATGCCTTCTTGGAATCTGGCTTCTTTGGTATCATGCTTATCAGCTGTTTTTTTTTTAACTTCGTTAGCGCAGGAGGGGGAGGGGAAAGAACAGATTGCCTGTGCCTGAGTCCTGTTTATCTGGCGGTTGCGTGAACTTTAGGAGTGAACACTGCCTCTTAGGCAATCAAGAGACGGTCTCGCAGCAGAACTACTGATGGCTTTTTTGTTTGTTGTTTTTTAATCTTAACTATTTGTGTAAAACCTGGGAGTCTGAACAGCTGAGCTGGCACTTTGAGCTGCTGCCACCGTTGGAATTTTAAAATAATCCCCAAACCTGGTTGCCTGTCGTGAGAGGCCGCATGTTGTGTAGAACAGCAGCGTGTGTGTTGCACGTTGTGTTGTCCCAAGCGTGCACCTTCCACAGGTGGCCTCTGGTTTCTGGGGGCCTGTTCCAGCCAGAACGCTCTAGCAGAGCTTTTCGATGGGCCAGCTCAAGGTCTCGTCCTGTGGTGGACGGGTCTGGCTCATCCAGGCGATGGCTTACGCTCCTGAGAGTGCCTGGGGCAGGGACGTCTCGTGAGCCTAGCAGAAGCCAAGAGGAGAGGGAGGAGGGCTGAGATGTGAAGACTGGAGCCCTGGGATGAAGCGTGGCTGCGGACCAAGGCCCCGTGCTTGGTAGTCGATGCCGGGGAGCGTGTGTGCGTGAGAGAGAAAAGGGCCCCTGAATCTCAGCAGACTCCCTTGTGTGTTCCAGCCGGAGGGGACGTGTCTCTGCACTCCTACTTGAGCGGGCAGCCTACCGACGCGTCTCAGCTCGGCATGCTGGCCTGCTTCCTCGTTTACCACTCCGTCCCGTCGCCCGGGCAGCTCTCAGCAGGCGGCTTGGAAGGTGAGAGGGGGGGCGGGGCCGGGCCGCGCGTGCTGTCGCTAGCGGCGTCTGCGAAACCACCAAGGTGTCCTGCGGCACTGCAGAGACTAACCCACTTGTGCCCTGGTAAAGCCGCTGGCCCCAGGCTGCCGCAGGGCTCCTTGGGTTTGGATGGGTTTGCTGACCTCTCCTGTGAAGAGCAGGGCTGTACCAGGGTTCACAAGAGAACCGGATACGTTCATGGGGGTTGGCTCCATCGATGGCTGTTGGCCAGGCTGGGCAGGGAGGTGTCACGTGATGGGTTCCCTCTGGGACACCTGGCATCAGCCGCTGGTGGCAGACAGGGCGCTGGGCCGGCTGGGCCATTGGTCCGATGTAACGGCCGGCGCGCTGTTCCCAGAGGACCGGTGTGTGCGTGTTGGGCACGGCGCGGACGCGGCCCGGCAGCGATACGATGCTTCCCACGCCGGCTGCCGGGGGCCG